CGTAGCCACCCCCACTTATGGTTACATGTGTATATCTTGGTAACCGCTGCACCAATTTCTTCCAAACTTGGCACAGTTGTTGGCCCTGGTACAGCATACCAAATGGCCGAAAATTTTAAAATCGGACAATAACCACGCCCACATCCCATATAACGGTAATTTAGAGAAATACAAAATCTTCGATAAATCACTAAATATTAAAGCTACTTTATTCACTAATTTATTAACTTATGATCACATATATGTATCTCGGTAACCGTTATACCAATTTGTACCAAACTCGGTATGGTTATTGTGCTTGCCACATAAAAACAAAGCGTTGAAAATTATTCAAATCTGACTAAAATTACGGCCGCTTTTCATATAACGGTAAATTTCAGAAATGCTTTAAACTGCAATATTTCGAAATTTAAGGACGCTAATTTACTTACCATCTAGCGGTAGGTTTCGGAAAGGTGAAAAAACATATATTTAATACTCACGCCGGGTATCTAATGTTCGGCTCCGCCCGAACTTAGACTTTCTTACTTGTTCCGAGATATTTTGGTGGAAGTCTTTGGTTTGTATCAGTGACCTGCACGATTATGTTAGTATCGTACGAGTACGTTATTAACTAACACTTTTGACGATTACCACGATGCCAAAGTAGCGAAGTTACTCGGCATCGCCGCATCGTCGCATCGTACGATTACTAACAGCATCGTCGATTAGTAACAACGTAATTCTGTTAATAAATTAGCATCGTCAATATCAGTGTGACCAGATAATGCCAAAACCATATTAACTATACTTGCATAGTGTATCTTTTATTTAGTTCAGCATAAATTAATTCATAAATTCATAGAAATTAAACATATTTCACTTTAACAAAAACTATAACATAAAGTACGAGTTAGAAATAAAAAATATTGACAAAATAATATTTTATTTCTTGTCTTTCGAATGTAAAAATAAAATGGCATCCAAATTTTTTCCTCTAAGATTTGTTCTTCGTTCTTCCAAAACTCGATTTGCCACACTGAAACACCTTTCACTCGCAGCGCTAGATGCTGGAATGCATAATACTTTTCGCGCCAGTTTGGCCACCAAAGGAATTTCATTCTCATGTCGCCGCCACCAATGCAAAACATTGTTTTCTAAGTGGCAAACGTTTTTGTACATTAAAAATTACAAAGCAAAACTCAATAATGCCACGATACCAAATGTACCGTTACGTATACTCGTTGTCGGGGCTGCCAACTTTCCGTAGTTGGCAAGTTTAAAATTAGGCACGAAAAAGTGCTATGTAGAATTGCTGAATTTGGTTGCAAATGTAGCCTATTAAGTTATCTGATCACACTGGTCAATAGCAAGCTGTAAGCTAAAAACAGTGGTCGGCGCTTCATACCGCAATTGTGGACGATCACTTCACACGAATTCTTACGCTCTATCGTTTAGTCGTTAGCGAGACAGCAACAAATAAACAACGCGGATGGGTATTCTGCTTTGTTTCTTGAATACAAATATGCCTTGCGAGAAATATGTATGTACATATATTGAAAATTCTTTTGGGGGCATATAATGCCCTTTGTGTAGTAGGACCTTAAAAAGACTAGGGAATATGCTATTAAAAGACATTTTTATTAATTTCACAATGATATGGAAAATTTTGATGGGCATGGATTTTAATATTGGTGTTGGTGAATCCAAATGAATTTTTTATCTGAGTTTCATTACTTCAATATTGTCATAACTCAGAATACTAAAAACTCGAGAAAAACGGCATTAAAATTTTGATTTTACATATACTAACAGGCGAAAAATTACTACATATTTTGTTCTAATGACTACTGGTAATCGTTACAGCTATGAAATTTTTACACATCATAAGAAATAGGTAACGTGCATACTTAACTCGATTTTTTGCTTTTTTTGGATTATGACACTTTTCTAGTAAATCAGCGATTTACATATACATATCGCTACATGAAATGCAAAAGGACTTGGCAAAAATCGTCACTGAAATGGAAAAAGTCGTGATTAATATTTTATTTTCATAAAACGATGTGGGGAGTTGTAATTCGATGAAATCCATCATATAAATCAAAAAGTGTATTTTGAATTTTTTATGAGTTACGACTTTTTGCATTTCAGCGACTATGTTTGTTACGTCTTTTTGCATTCATGTGACGATATGTGTTAAATATATGTTTTTATTGAAGCCCGATCCGTTAAAAATTTTTTCACTTATAGTAATTTCGTACTGGGTTGCTCATGCGGAGCAGTTCTCTTGTGCTCACCAACACATACACAGTTTAACTTTTGCCGGCCAGTGTTGCCGCGACGTCATGAAAATATGTATCATAGAAAAAACAAAAAATGGATCAAATGTTTCACAAATCATTTATTTAAGTATCAAGTATTTTATTTTTCCCTACTAATTTTACCTTTAAGGAGAGCTGGAAATACTTTTCCAGAAAAACGTTTGCTAAAAAATTATTCATACATATATCTTAAATTGTAGATTTTTACAGTTTGTGCGTACATATAAGTGTGATAAGTGCCATAGCAACGAATTCGAAATATATGCACCTTATTTTGGTTTTAAATGTTTTTTTTTCAGAGCTTAAACTTATAAAATTCGTTGATTTTATTAAAACTGCGGAAAATGTAAAACCAACCTAACGTAAATCAATGCTCAACTTCAAAAAAAAATTTAGCTCTTCATATCAGCTATTAATATTACTTAGCTCTTTTTTTCGACCGAAAATTTTTCGAAATATTTCTCTGGCAACACTGGTTGGTGTCGTGGTTTAGTTCGTCACGCTCATGGTTGCCGCATTTTAGAAATGTAGTAACAGTGGATATTTTGCGTGCATAGGCTTTTTGGCCTCTTTTGCTTATACGTATAGTGAAGAAATGGATCTTAGAACTTTTTAGTAACTAATAACTATAAGATTTCGATGTTTAGGTTTTATTATTTTCATAGGAATGTGCTTTCACATAAATAGGTACATACATATATAGTTCTGAAAAAGAGATTGCCTCATAAATATTAACCATTATTTTTGGGTATAAACCAGCATTAAAATTTCTTATATATTTATATAGGTAGAATCGAATTAAATAAAGTGAGTCATTTGTGTCCTCTTTATAAAAATCCTGAAGCAAGCAATTTTAACTCATGTATGTATGTACATATAGTATATTACCAACATTTATTAACTCAAACTGTAGTTCTCATTCAGGGTCATACATTTTGTTTTTGGTTTGTAGCAAACGCATGCAAATAATCTAAAACAAAGTATATTAAAAACACGCTACTTTTTACTTTGGGTATTATTTGTAATGTTCGTACATAAAATGTGGCAAGCGTGTGCCAAGATTACGAATAAAAAACATGGAATGTTTGCGCTCTTTCTGCTCACTCTCTCAACAATTTCATAAAAAACGGAATGTTACTAACATGTTAGTAACATGTTACTATCTTGACGATGCCGACGATGCGGCGATTCTGCGATGCCAAATTTACAGTTATGTAGCATGTACTCGCCGCATCGGCATCGCCGATTATTAACATGTTACCTTTTTATGTAATCGTGCAGCTCTCTAGTTTGTATGGAAAGTGATGCAGTCTAATGTACATATATGTATATTTCAGGGTATCCAACACATTTGTTTAGAATTCCCCGATTTCGACAATGAAATTCCCCGATTTTGCCCGAAATTTAATAAAATTGCCCACCCATAGATATCTCCGCATTTGCAAAAGAAATTGTATCTATTTTGATATATAGCTGGTCTTTTTGTTTATTTTATTATGTATTCATAAACCAAACCAAACTTTTATAAAGTTTGTAACGAAGCGTTTTCCTGTGAAGGCCCCGACGCTTCTGTTTTCTATGCTGAGGTATACTCGCCGTGCCCAGGGTCCATTATAATAAATTTATATTGTGGGGCCTTGCAAATAGTACTTTATTTGATTTCTAAAAAAAACGTGTTACTACTTAATTTCTATGAACATAATACGATTAACGGTGTATGAATTCCTAACGGTGAATTCCCAGCGCGCTGCTGCTGGGTGACGTCGGCGCTACTGTGTCGGCGCTCTGCTCCTATGCGACGTCGGCGCTCTTGTGTCGGCGTTCTGCTTCTGCGTCACCG